CCTCCTACTGATCTTGATGCATCTCCTCAACAAAGTTTACGTCGACATGGTTTCGTCACTGGTCATTTACGTTCAATACTTCGTAAACAAGTTAGTTCATCTCAATCAGTTACATCGACAGAAGTTAGCATGCGAAAAATGCGTAGTCAACTTTTAACTCCATCATCAACAGTCTTAGATGATATACCATTAGGAACACGATCACAACGTTTATTTGGTGGTAGTGAATGTTTCGCTCAGATAATGAATGAACTTGAACAACAAAAGAAAACTATCTAATTAATATTAACATTGTATTCTGTATAGTGTATTATTAAAAAAATAGTGCTTTTGCATATTTACAAAATTTGTTGTTTAATGGCAAACAAACTAAATAATAATGTCAAATAAGTGCTTGTAAACCTTGAAAATAGGCATAGTTTTTTTTTTCTTTTCATTGTAAAAGAGTATACACAAGTTAAGTGCCTACATTATGAGCAAAGAAAAAAAACTACCATGCCTTACCTAATTTCGATCATTCAAAATGTCATTAAAAGAAAATTATTCATAATGATGTTTTCTTTTTTCTTTTAACTCGCTGAATCACTTAGAGTGTGACTTTATTTTTAATGAATAACAATCAAAAGTCTTTTAATAGTCATCATGCCAAAGGTGTTGAAAAAAATAGAATTCATTGTACTTAAATAGAATATATGTATGAATTTTTTGAAAAATGATTCGCAAAATTTTCTGTACTCAAACTTAAAGAGGTTTTATTAAGATATATTAAAACTCTATTACAAAACTGTCTACTAACGACAAAAGTATTGCAAATTGTACTTTTTAATATAAAATACACAGTTTATGATTAGAACAAAATTATGTAGATTTATATATATATAAATGAATAGTATAAGAGTAGATGCCTTTTAATAACAAATAAAAACTTAAATGGAAGATACAAAGTATTAATATATCATTTAAAATTTTTTAATACATTCTTGAATCAGACAAAAAAAATAATATTAAATTATGTCAATGATCAAATAATTAATGTGATTTGAAAACTTGTAAACGATAACGAAACATCATACAGAAAAAAAAATCGAAGAAAAACAATCCAAAATCACTAAAGTGAACTAGGCAATGCGACTAAAATTAAGCGTGCAATGATCTATCAACAAATGTTATCCAATAATGTATTTAAAAAATTCAAGCACTGTATCAGCACTTTGTATCTTAATTTTAAACTTTTATTTGTATTATAACTGTCTACTCTTACACTATTCATATACATCTGTTTAAAGATATAACATGTAAGTTATGTGCGTTGGTCGATCTTTTTAAATGTTATACTGAATTCACTCAAAAACTTCTATTACTTTTAAATTGTTTCAGTCTAATCTTGAGAATTTCTTTTGTATTCGTTAAGAAGTCTCGAATTGAGAGTCTCGATTATTAGATAGTTAACATATTTATAATCGGGTTTTGTGTATATTCTATTGTAAAGATAATGTCATAGCTAAAGATCAATTGTTAGACAAGTATAATGAATGAATCATAAGTTCAGTTGTTTTTTTGTCTTTCTTAAGAAAAAAATAAGAAGAATATTGTTCACACATTTATTTGTAGTATCATACTGAAATTTTATATAACTTTATCTTAATGATATTTTTTTCTCCAATAAATTTATTCAGCTACACTTTTCAACATTTGATCTGTTATAGTTAATTTTATTAGCTGTTCTATAAGATGGTTGACAATAAGCAATAGTTTATTGGTCATAGAAAGAATAAAAATAAACATGGTATTGTCATGGTTTTCTTTTAACATTTCTATGAAAACTTTCTTTCATCTACTAATTGTAAATTTGAATATTGTTTTGATTCAATATTGTGATGATGTATTCTCATCTAATTAATATTGATGATTTCATACAGATTTGTATTTCTATTTCAAACGTCTATAAAGTTTTTAGGGCTTCATTAACAAATATAAATGCAGTAATAATCGCGGCTTATTCTCCAATATAAAAAGTCATCGCAAGATTATTGGATTGAAACCATGACATTTTATATAAAATATTATGATAACTACCTTGAACATTTACTGTAAACAAATAAATGAAAATATTGTTTTTTTTTTGCATCAGTATCATTTTTCAAAACAGCAGAATATTTTGACTGACTCGAATAGAATCATTCTGATCTTTAAAATTTGATTCTGTTATATTGTGACATTTTTTTACAAAATAGGAACATGGAGAAAAGATGTAATTTGTGAAATACATATGCGATAAAAAGAAAAAAAATTTACACATTATGAGAAAATTAAATAGCATGTGTCGTCTGGTTGAAGTTGGTTCTTCAATCTGTAGGTGATGTTTTATCTCACCTGATAAATATAATAATAATTTGTAGAGTATATGAATAAATGAAATCTATCAAATTACTGGTCATATTATTAATTATAGCAAAAATTAAGTTTGCAATTTTAGCGAGATGCTCGATATATGTTATTAATCTGTAGCGATAGTAAGGGCCATCAAATTTTATATTGCCATTGGTTGAATTAGTTAGAGTAATTGTCAATGTGAGTACCGTCGAACTTTGTTCAAATATGTTCTTTTTCGAGAACATGATTTGAAGAAAATTTTTAGGTTTTATATTTGCGTACAATAGATTGTTCATATCATTTCGTAGATCTTTCATTTACCGAAAAAATACTTCTGATGTTGGTTAGCATTTTGTATGAATTAATATGGATTTTTTATTCAATTTTTAATAGAGATTCTATCAGATGTTCATACGCTAGCTATTTAATGATTGCATCAAATCATTATATCTCTATTGCATCTTATCAAAATGTTCTATGAAAGGCCGCTTTTTTCTTGCAAATGTTTTGAACATTCAGATTAATACATATCTAAAGTATATTACAGTCATACCCTGAGAGATAAGACAACTTACATGGTTCAACATGAACATAAAATATTCTCGTGTTGTATATTAATAAATACAATAATTTACAGAGACAAATATGCTCTCTTACTGTCTTGATAAACATAAATCACATACAATTTTTATTTTGCTCCATATATCTCTAAACATGATCTATTAGTCGATATAAGATTATGAACATAGGCAATCATAATACTGAACAATATAAACCGTCAAAGCACGGTCGTATACGGCACAACATGATTGATTACAAGCATATACAGGCTTCCTATTCATCATTGGAAGCATACATCATATTCACCATTTCTTTCTCATGGCATCAAACAAAGCAAATAGAAAAAGAAGCATATAACTTTTTTGTTACAAAAATTCAAAAGAATAATAAGTCTCATTTATTTTGAAAGATCTAACTGTTTTCTGCGAAAAGAAGGACTTTATTATTAACAGATCGGGAAATTTATCAGATTTCATGGTATTCTACCACTGAATGCTGGATCATTATGTTTCGTGGAAATCCAGAAACACTGATTAGTGTAAATAAATTACAAAAGAAATTCAAAAGAAAAATGAATTCTAAAATAGTTCTGCCTCTAGTAGATTGTATCAATAGTTTTGGCGAGAGCTATCAAGAGGAAGGATGAGGGTCGAGCGAAAATACACACATGTGAATTAAGCCCATAGGAGACCTTTATAGATTCAGTATGAGCTTAGTGAAGCTTTCGACATATTAGAAGACCTTTGATCTTCTATTCTTTCTTATCGTTTATACGTTACAAGGAGGTCTTCTATAAAGTCCATTAAAATAGGCATAGTCTTTGGTAATCTCGTCAAGAATTCTTAGTTGCAATTCATTTTTGCTCAATACAGCGTTAGTAAACGAATTTATTTCAATTATACCCACGTATAGAATGATAAAAAGACAGATAACATACTGTGAAAAAAAAAGAGGAATTCGTTGTTAAGAAGAGTGTGCTTAGAAAAATACAATCAACATACCATAAAATCTTGATACAATGCTTAATAGCATTCGTTTTTCTAAAGAATAAGATCTATCATTGGCAACATTTTACCTTCTCAAAAATAGTTTAGATGGAATATGTTCACAGTGGAGTGTACTACCAACAGTATAATTATTTGTCTCAGGTTAACTTCAATGAGTATAGTTGTCTCTGAAGAAACAGTTTAAAGGCAAATAACAGTTGAGTACACATTCAGCGGTTGCTTTTGTGTGTTTCGAGAAGTGTCATTAGATCTTTTTTGCTAAAAGAAATACATTCTCAGACTCAAATTAAATAAAGCCATCGACACATTAGAAGACCCGGGGTCTTCTATTCTGTCTTAACGTTCATAAGTTAAAAGAGGGGTCTTCTATTATGTCCTTTAAAAAAGTCATCTTTTTTGGCAATACCACCAACAAACCTTAGTTTCATTTGATTTTTGTCCAATATATCGTTGGTAAATGAGTTTGCTTCACTTATTTCACATGTGTAGAATAAGAAAGAAACAGATATCATTCTGTGAAAAAAGGAAGACCATCTTTGGTAAGAAGTGTTNTATTCCCTCCTATTAGCTGTTGTTCAAGAATTTTCTAATTCGGAACTGACACGTCGCTGCGATTATAGAAGCAAAATATTGCCCATACTGAATATAGATCTTATTATGAACATAAGTAATCAAAAAAATCAATAAGCTGCAGAAATTATTTTCAAAAAAATCGATTCTCAGAGGAGGTCTTCTAAAATACCTTCTGCTTTATTTATTAAAGGAAATCTTCTAATATATCAAAAGCCTTCGAATCACTAAACTCATATATATATATCTTGATACATCTTACAAATGAATCTTTTCTGAAAAATATAGTAGTTTTGAATTATTTTCTAATTCATTTGAGTTATAAATTCTCTGGGAAGTAATTCGCATTGGGTTACAAAAAATAATGACTTCAGAAGAACGTTTAGAAAAAAAAAAGACAAGATTTTTCGTGCATGAGTCTTGTATAATGAATTCAAACGACGTATAAAAGTAGTGTTCATTAATTAAATATTCCTTGTATATCATCTATTAAGACACAGCTTGTTTTAATGAACCATTTTTATGACAAATATTCAATTCAAATAAAGAGCCAAAATAAAGCTGATCAATAAAAATATATGGACTCTAAAGAAAAAAAAAAAAAGGAATTCTTCTTAAGTTTTCTTATGGACTTTTTAAATACTTGACGACGATCAGTAAAACAAAGATATCGAAAATAATTTTCTAATTGTCTACAATCTTGTCGTTTTTCAATATCAACAAATTCATATGTATCTTAAACAAAAAAAGAAAAACAAAGGATTAAATTTTATATTCTTGTCTTAAATTACCTTTTGGTAAAGAATATTCTTCAAATATTTGTTCAGCTTTTTTTGAATCTGGATCATTGGCTTTTGTAAACATCATAACACGTCGTCCCCGTATTTTCATGTCAACATAATTTTTCGTTCCAGCCGCCATTTAAAAAAATCTACAAATAAAAAAATAAAAGAAAATTAATTTTCTCAATTATTTATTCAATACAAAAGAAAGAAAAAAAGAAAGAATAAATGTCAATCTTTCAATCGTGATGTTGGTCGTTGACCTAAAGAAATCAAATTAGTATATAATTGTATCAAACTTTTAAATATAATTAACTAACTTATTGATCGAATACTTGATGTAGCACGTGGTTTTTCTGGTATTATTGGTTGTGATACTTGACTCGATTGTTGCTGATCCAATAATTCTTTTGCTTCACGTTCTTTAATATGTTGCAAACGAATTAATGGATTTTTTTGACGAAGAAGAATTTCCAATGATTGATAAATAGAAGATTTAACTGATATATCATTCATATCCTTATATGAAAATTTTTATTGAAAAAAAAGAAATATTTTAAATAAGAGATTCAAAATGTTTACTTTAAGTTCTAGTCGGCAAAGACCAGAAAAATCAGTTGATGTAGCAATTGTTGATGATATATTTGCTGTGTCATTAATATTTATTAATCTTGTTTGATGTTGAATTGAAACAAGAAATTCATTAACACTAGTTATTGTTAAATAATTTCCTTGAATAAGAAAAATAAAACACAGAAATAATAAGATCTCTATTAAAATTCTGAAATAATTCTTTAACATACGAGATAAATTTAAATTTAAAAGAACTAAATTTCCTTTTAAACTTATTTCACCATTATGTGATTCAATTTCATTCAATTCTAATATAGGATTTTCACGTTCAATATGTTGCATTGACAGAGAAGTTAACTAGAAAAATAGATTTTATCAATTGAAAGAAAACGAAAATATATGAGCGAGCAAAAAAAAGAAGAAGAAGAAGAAGAAGAAGAAGAAGACATTTTCAGAATAGAATACTTTTCCTGATAAAGATACTATAGATGGACGACCCTAAGATAATGAGAAATGTGTATTTTTTGCTAGGCTTTAATATATAAGAATAGAAAATAAAGCAATGAATAAGGCACTAGAAAGCATGACTGTTAAAATCAGTGGATAAGTGACAAAGCGATAATGACGATTGGTGTTTTGTATTATTTATGCTAAGAGCAGTTAGTGAGGGTATAAAAATTGGTCCTCACTGAATGTTTAGAATGCGCGCAGTGGCTTACCATTGCATGCCTAGAAGTGATGTTTGAGAGAAAGAAACCGTTTCGATCTCTCGATCATGTATCAGACAAGATTTTGATATTCCTAAGAATCGATATTGTATAATGTTATCTATATTTTCTATTGATTAATTTTCCCTAGTCTTTTTCAAAATTTGAGAGCATAATCGAATTACCAGTAGAATTTAACTGACAAGTTATCGTCTGCAGTCTATAATAGAGCATGTGAAGAAGACTTATCTAATGTAATATAAATGATAAGGACGACTGGATTGTTTTTTCTGAAATTTGATTAAACCTTTGGAAATATCGTTACTTAAGATTTATTAATTCTAAACGAATTACCTAGACAAACACTACTATTAAGAATTATTGTTGCTTCACTAAACAAATATTATCTATTGTCAAGTGTGAAAACTAAATATGAGGCGTTCCGTTGATAGTTTTCAGTTGTCACCTATGATAATAACTAGAAGCTATCAAAAACGAAACTTTTATATAATATTATGCTAATGTGTATGGAGAAAAAAATTATTAGAACTAGTTAATTTAAATTCTGAAATTTGGGTCCAATAACTAAAACGTAAAAAAAAAGAAAGCCTTTTAAACACCATATTTCTTGAAAAAATCGATGCTTTATGCTTGAAAAATCTGAAATATTGTAATTTGTTGACTATTAAACTAAGTATTTCTGATAATTTTCTCTTTGTTTCTCAGTAGCGTATTATTTAAACAGTTGATTTTAATTTCTTTTTGTTACTGTCTAAGATGACAACAGGAAATTATCGATGGTACGCATCACATTGAGTTATCATATTTGATAGCAGATAACATGTTTTTAGTGGCATTAAGAGTAGAACATAATACTAGTGCTGCTTTAAATTATCCTTATGAAGAAAAGACTTTGAATAGACTTCTACTACCAATCAAAGAATTAGCCGAATAGACTGAGTCGAAACAGAGATTTTTAAAATTTTTATCGTCGTGCTAACTTATAGCTTACTCTGCATGTGACACATTTCAACCGATTCCTGAAGAAAATTATACACCAGAAGAGAATGAGTCTTTACTCTCAACAGATCCTAGAAGCTATTTTCTACCAATGAACTCATCAGTATGATGGAAACTATTTACAAGAAAAAGATATCTCGAACTATAGGATACTATTCGACTTCTTACGTGAGCTAAAGATAAATATTTATGGGACTAAATAAAACTTGAATATACAATGAATCCTAATGATTATATACCTCATCAAGTTTTTATTATATTAACTGATTATTTCAAACTCTTTCCGGCTGTTTCTGGTTTTACAGACATCCAAAAATATAAAGCCAAACAATGTTCGATCAATTTTATCTCAAACAAATTGATTCGACTCATGATAAACTTAAATATTTATTCAAATGTTTATGTGTATAGAATTCAATTATTTACTTCATCAACGGTGTTTTCATCTTCTTCTTTAACGATTGAAATATTTTTTTTCGAAGAACCACCAACACCTGCTGCTAATTTCTTTTTACGTCCATGTGCAGATGCTCTTCCTTGGTCTAGTTTAATACAAATAATTTTCTTTTAAATAAATTCATTCAATATACTACCAGATGAACGACGAGGATTAACTGATGATGATCGACCACCAGTACCATCACTTTTTCCTTTCTTTTGATCAGCTTTACTTGCCGATGGCGGACGATTTTCATCTTAAGCAAAACTTTTCATAGATACTTAATAACTGAATATATTTACCACCAGGTTCAGCTCGATGACGTTTATCCTTAAAAAATTCAAAACATCATGATATGTAAAAATCACACAATATATACTGTAGTTTTTGTTGTAATTGATTTGCGACGTTTAGTCTGATCTGATGTACGTTTTAAATCACTACGATTATCACGACCTGATTTACTTTTTGTTGATATAGTTGAAAGAGTTGGTGATGGAGCCTTAAGTGCAAACATTATTTTCGTTTTCTGAATAATAATTATTTCTTACACTATTCCTTATTTCGTCTAAATGTACTTCATCGTAATGCTCTGATAATAAATGTCTTCGTTGAAGAATTTCTTCTTCTGTAAGAACAATTTTTCGTAAAACCTGTAAAATAATTCGTTAATATTTAGGGATGAATTATTTGCGGCTATATTTGATATAATATTAAAAAACAATTTTCTATCAAATAAAGTCAATAGACAATAAACGAAAAGAAGGATTAGTGAGGGAATACAATATATAAAACCTACCCTATTTAAATCTAAATAAATATGGTTATTCTCTTTAAAATCAAAAAGTAATAAATTACTTACTAATGCTAAAGCACAAGCACCTCTATCGGTGATACAATTCGATGAAAGATTAAGAGAAATTAATGTACGATTATAACGTAATGCCTCAAAATAATCGATATTATTTAATTGAATAAAATTATTATCTATTTTTTTATACTTTTGCAAATGATTTTGCACCATTATCACCAATTTGATTACCGGATAAAGCTAAGGTTAATAATTTCCAATTTTGAACTGATATATTTCCAAGAATATGAGCAAGACGTTCTGCACCTTTATCAGTTATTTTACAAAAACGAAGAGAAAGATGAGCAATTCTATAGGAATTAGTTCATAATATTATTGAAGAAAAATAAAATATAGATTTTACTTTAAATCATCTTTTTCAATTAATATATGAAAATGTTCTGCAGCTAATGGATTTCCATCGAGTGACACAGTTCTATAGATAAATAGCAAAACATATTTTTAGTCTTTTAACTTTTCTACTTTAAATTTTTGATTGATTGACAGACTTCAGTGAAACCATAGATTGTTTGTTCATTCAAACCAACAAAACAAAAACTATTTGTAGAATAATATAGATACAGAAAATACAAACGATGAACTATACTTGAGAGTGTGCAAGTGTTCTTGTAACAGAAGAACTTTTTTCAGAATATCAATAAAACGTTGATCAAGCTGCCAAGCTATCAAGAAGATTAAAAATTCATTTAATTGACTCATCAATTAAATTAAAAACCAATACCCTTCATATATAGAGCATTTATTTGATCGATTGGCTCATTTTCATTACCGGTTGAATCTACTAATAATTTTGGACGAAAATAATCACTATCGCGCATTAGATGAAATGTTTTATAATGTGATGAAGATGATTTTGAAGGTTCTTGACCTATTATATATTTAAAAGTTTCGTTTAGTTTATATTTTAGTTACCTGGAGTACTGGATGATTTGTTATCATTGTCAACGACTGCTAAAATCCCACTCTGACTAATAGAAGGAATTCTTCCACGCGATGACCGCTTCGATTGAGATGGTAACTGCTCTTCAGCAGTACCGCCAACAAGCGATGGAGTAACTGATACTAGTGAGTGGGTACCTGATTGTTGTGAAACTGAAGGAATTTGTGATGATGGCGGTGGATGACCACGAATGTACACAGGAATATTTACAGGATAACCTGAAGATGGCTCACGGCAACAAAATTCCAAATCAGCAGCAAATCTACCGACGCACTGGTGATCTTCTATAGATAATGTAAAATCTATATAAGAATGAAAAACGAAAATGAAATCTAATAACCTTGATCTTCTGTTGCTGCCAAAGCAACTTGAGACTGCCTACGGCTTTTGCTCGTATTGTCAGCTTTTTTCGGACCCATCGCATATAATTAAGATTAAAAAATCAATAGAGAAGTCTAGAAACTATATGGTTTCGATACCATATCAATTTTAATCCTCATCGAAACACCCTCATCTCACGAAATTCGAACACGAATAATATAACAGATGGCGCTCAGCTATGGATGAAACATTAGATTTATTTATTTACTTTTTATTTCAAACAACTTTTATAATATATAACATAAACTCATTTTATTAAACATCAGTTAAATTCAATTTACTTTCGATCAAAAATTTGTACTCTTTTCAACAAAATGAATGTTTCAGACAAGATTTTCTCGTTAATGACTACTAGTTGGAACATTTATGAAAACATTCTGCAACAATAACAGTTATTTGAGCTTTTCATAGCCTATATTCACTTTTTAAATATACGATTTCTGACTGAATCTCGTCGGTTACTTATCTATAAATCTATTTGTATAGGTGACCGGACAATTCGTTGCAGGACAATTCGTCGCGGACAATTCGTTGCGGACAATTCGTTGCACGGACAATTCGTCGCAGGACAATTCGTCGCACGGACAATTCGTCGCACGGACAATTCGTNAATTTTTCTGTGTACGTCCGAATCCTAAATTTTACGGTTTATATGATAATAGCTCCGGTTTATTAGAAGCTTATTTGAGTTTCAGTACATCAAACTTTAGCTTTCTCGAAAAAAGCTATTCTAGTAAAAACATCTTATTAATAGTGAAGATTTTTGTACGACTCTCAGTTACTAAAATACCTTGTTCAACTACGTGATGCTTTTGAAAACGACACAGATCCTCCATCTTTTGTTTTTGAAAGAACTTATTTATTCGATCCTTTTATTATAACGTCTAAGATTCTTTCCGAAAAATAGAATAAGTTCAGCCTCCCCAAACCTTCATTATTCAAATTTAGGGGAGGCTTGAGCCTCCCGAAGCCTAAAGGTTCCGCCGCCTATGGTTGGAACATTACTAATAATTTAACTAAAGTCAAAAGTAGTCATTGTTAGTTTTTTGAAGAATAATTAACAAGATGAAAATTATACTTGAATAACGTAGGTAGAAAGTGTCACGCTAGTACTGCAAAAATATTTTTGTCAATTAAATACTCATTTATGACAACATGACAGAAAAACGTACCACAGTGTACACATCTTTGCATCACTTAGAAAAAGAATAAAAATTTGAATGATCAAGTTATCTATTATATCAGAACTCACGAGAAAGATGAAATATACCGAGAATTTTTTTTAATATACCAGTTTTATTGATCCCATAACGGTTACCAATTATCAGATTCTATATAAGAAGGGAAATTTCTGCCAATTTCTCACGCCATCTATGACGCATATTCACCATGACCAAAATTAAAAATTAAAAAAAACGCTGAAGTGTACAAGAACAATAAAATAAAAGAACAAAGTTCGTAGGATGTGCCTTCTATGCCAAACGATTCATAAAAAGGTTATTCTTTTTCAGTCCCATAGAAATATACCGAGAATTAATAAAATACAGTCGGACAATGTGTATCATTTATTACATGAAAACAATAGGCGCGTAACATGAAAAATGTATCTCGACAAGGGTGCATCTGATTTTAACGCGATCTGGTACTTAAGGGTTTCAGACTACGCTCTTTCTTTTGTGTAGCAGACACTTTTCTCCAAAATGCTCGGAAGTAGGTTTTCCATAAAACTACGGCTTTTGGACACTCCCACCGCAAAAAATCTTCTTCTAGAGAAGATCGAGAAATGATGGAATACTTCTAACTACATGGCTGTGTTCAGCAAAGAATGAGCTACATTCTGAAAAAAGAGTAAATCTTCAACTCTGAATTTTAACTTTTTTCAAAATTCAAATAACTCAACATACAAAAGCGATGAAGACCTGACAAAAACGTCATTAGATAGTGTCACGTCTTAAGGTCACTCTTATGAAGAGATTGTTGAGAGAAACGAATCTAGTTTATTTAAGTTAATAACTGAACAACAACAGCGAAAAATGTAGATGCATATATATATATACTAGCGATAACGGAAAGGAAATTTTCCAACTTAATTTGAAAAGTACATAAATGTAAAACATAGTACACTGGGAAATTTCCAAAATGAATAGTCGATGATTATATAGGAAAATTCCATAAGTCACTATATCACAGATAGAGAATTGAAAAGTTAAATAAAACTGAATATTAATATTCAGTTTTGTTCAGTTTTTTATTCGCTATCCTATGCCGTTTTTGTCAGGTCTTCACCACTTTTGTGTGTTGAGTTATTTGAGTTTTAAAAAAAGTTGAAATTTATTAATGTTAAAAAACATTTAAATATTGAAATTCAGAGTTGAAGGCTTACTCTTTTTTCAGAATGTAGCCCATCTTTTGCTGAACACAGCCATGTAATTAGAAGTACTTCATTGTTTTTCGGTTTTTTTGTAGTCGTAGTGTCTAAAAGCCGTGATTTTATGGAAAACCTACTTCCGAGAATTTTGGAGAAAAGTGTCTGCTAAACAAAAGAAAGATCGTGGTCTAAAACTCTTAAGTACCAGATAGCGTTAAATATAGTAAAGACCGAGAAAAGTTAGTCTATGCTGACTTCCTCATGTTACAAGCCTATTGTCAAGACTTGCATTACGACAGTTGTAAACTATCGTATACAACGTTCTATGTAATCGGGTACGGTTGTAGACAATATTAATTATGACCGTATGTCATCGTATACGGCTGTTGATGTCCGTACTTTTTAAATTGAGAAGACAATTTTTGAAAAGAAGAAAAAGCCAATATAAAATAATGCGAAAAATATCTGATAGAATGAAAGAAAGAGAAAAAATACATTTTTTGTCTATCAAGTAAGATCCAGAACAGATAAATATGTCAAGATTTCTATGCATTTTTTTATCATTTCGTTAAATATACAGTATAATGTTTGTTTATTTGAAAACTTTCTTTATTATATCACAGATACTATGAGTATATCATTCAAACCACAAAATACTAAGGCAGTTGCCACGAAACGAATAATAAGGTAATCAAAAAAGAGTCGACTTTGTTTATCATTGAAATTTTTAGAGATTTGAGAGATCTTCAAAAACTGCCTGTACCTGGACTTGGCGTTAGCTGTCCAGATGAATCGAATCCATTTCTTTTACATTGTAATGTATGTACTTAAATATTTCATGTGATCAATAAAGACAACTAAAAAAAAATTCTTGTTTTAAATTTTTTCTTAGGTATTGATCAACGATGGTCCTTATCGTGGCGTTATGATTCATTTAATTCTTCATATTCCCGAAGATTATCCATTAACAGGTCCTGCTGGAAATATAGCACCGGGCTTAGAATTCGATTCGACTTATCATGGTCATATTCATGAGGACAGAATGTAAGAATATATTTATAATAATCATCAATAGAAATTGACTTTTTTTTTCTATTTAGACATGGACATGCTTTATGTAATGATTTATTAACAAATTATGCTTCATATTTTCGACACATTGATCAAGGTAGTGCTAAACAAGCTAGTGGATGGAGGTAAATAAAACATTTCTATTTCATTTCAATGATTACTTTCGTTTGTTCTACAGTCCAGGTTATACATTGTCTACTGCTCTCCTTCAAATTGTTACGTTTTTTGCTGAACCTGATCTGCCGTATACGCCATCTTTACCAAATATTAATCGTTTGCATGATATGGTAAAAAAATTTAAATGCTTAACCTGCAGTCATACATATGATCAACCAAATCCAACAATTGTTGATTATACCGTAATAAATGCTACACAAATCGATAAATCTGAAGAAGAAGAATTAAAATTGCAACGTGAATTAATAGAAAAATTAACATGTGGTGTAACAAAACTAAATATTTTAGAAGATAAAATTTGTTTAGGTTATCCATTATTAATAAAACGTGATCGATATGGTCGTTTATGGTCAGACCTTATTTTAGAACTTATTTCATATGATGCATATGTTGCTGAAATACAAAAATCCGGTGAAAATAAATTAGATTATTATGAAAATTTTAAATTTCGTTCAGTAACAGGAAAAGATTATAATCATTGGTTACCAATATATATAAATGAAGAACATTTTCAAAGATGTCAAACACTTATTCAAAATAGTATTAGTATTATTTATAATGGTACTGCTTTAGGTAGTACTCAATATGATTTTAAACCTTCAATGGCTTTAAGTGTTCTAACAACATTAATAAATAAATCAGGTGTACAATTATTTAATGGACAAATGTTTGAATCAAAACATGCTATTGAAGCGTATTGTCATTTTTTACGTTTATTAATGCATTTTATTGATATTTATCCTGAATTAGGTAAATTGTGTGTTGTGTTTGTAAAATATAATTTAAACAACGTATCGAAGTGCAGAGGTAGACTTTTGAACCCCTCACAGACCATGACAGATGTTGTTGATATATACGAGTATAGACCATATATCAATAACGACTTGTTATAAAATATGAATTACATCCTTATTGCATTGCTGGTATATTAGATAACATGACAATGAAAAAGCGTGTCCCAAAATAGATAGAACAAATCAATTTCTCTATGATTAGCGACAGAGGCTACGTCGTATTTTACGTTGTAATTCTACAGAAAATGAGCTAAAAGCTTTTTTTATAATTTAATTTTTTTTATTTAGATTATCAAATTAATGATACTATTGAAAATTTTACTAAAGATTTAGATAAGCGAAATAAAAAATGTGTATCTGATATTGGTGAATTTTTAATAAAAATTGCGTTATCAAAAAAATATTCATTTGAAAATATAAAAGAATATGTTTATGAAGAATATTTTGCTCGACAAATCTATTGGATTCAACGTAGTAACATAATCGAAAATTTACTTGATATACAAACTCAACACCTACCTCAAATATTTCAATCTGTTAAAGTATCAAATCATTTATTAGTATTCAATTTAGAAATGGCTGCAACATTTATTTCTACTAGTGTAAAACAGTTCGTCAATTTGTATTATTTTTGATACTGCTATATATATATATATGTTTTAGACATTTGGATCGATCATATGGATATCCATCGGATATTGTCGTTGAAAAATTTCAACAACGATTAAAAGCTATTAAATCTATGAATCAATACAGTGATCTTGTTAAAGTTATTAAAATGGATACGATAATTCAATCACCGAAAGATATGATTGACTTGTTAATACGTTCAATTAAAATATCAAATAAACAAGGTTATACAAATATATTATCGGCTGCGGAAGAACAAGATCAAAAACTCGATCAACGAACACGATATATAAAGCAACAGCAATAATATTATAATGGAAAGGACAAACGTTAATTATGCATGTCTTATTAGAGATTTTTTTCCTTGTATATAATCGAGATATGATGACATTTGTTTCTGTTTACATTCCACATTGTTTTATACTATGATGTGTATTCGAAAAAAATTCTTTTTGTCTACACTAGAAGTTTGTCATATTTTATATCATATGTTGACTATTTAGAATAAAGACATTTAAACGAGAAAATTTAATTCTTAGATTATCTTCGTCAAGCATATTAAACTAATATAGAATCCTGTCATCTTCAATCATAAAAAAAGAGCGTTATAATGTTCCATGTAAATGTACGAGACGATTTAGATTATTTAAAAAGTAATAAAATACATGTCATTCAATCATATATTTCCATGCGTACTGTTGCCCAAGAAAAGACTGTCTATAATAGCATAGGTCCTGTCTTAAAGTCGTATTATAAAAACTTGTCAATGTGACGCCACATATCACGCAACGAAATCCAAGCGTTTATCATTAAGAAAAAAACGAAATAAAAATTCATGTTTTGTTATTGAAAAAAATGTACACTAGGCGAAATGAATTCCACATAATATGCTTTGATTAATTTTCTCATCTTCATTAAATTTAAAGTAATCAAGAATTTTTGTGTTTCATTCATGAGTTGCAACCATATCTATTGAAATGATGTTACTAGTCCCACAAGACAAATAGATTTTCATTTGAATGATGGATTTGAAAGCATATGTGAATGAAATGTAGCACTGCAGATCAGAGAAGAGTGTGAGTTTTTTTTTCATTCATACCCGCACCTCTAGTTTGATCGCTCTTTAGAAATTACATGTAGAAATAGTTAAAACAATACGCAAGAATATAAGCAGTAAAAATGTATTCGTAGAACAATAGACTAAATGCTTGTGTAAGATATAATTAAAGTCCGACTGCTTCACAGCTAGCCTTCCATAAACGTTCGACTGATGATTGATTGGTAGCCAATGATGATGCTTTTGCAACAGCACAGTTCCTGAAAAAATACAAACAAAAGTCTGAGTGTAGCCATTTGGTATGAATATTTGACTCACGCAAAGTACAAATCATGTGACTGTTCTAATGTCGATTCAACAGCACAATACACAATCGCCTGTGCACCGGTCTTGGGCGTTTTAGCAAATGCAAATCTCAAACAATAGTCCAATGGATAATAAAAGATGAAACTAAATATACCAAGAGTATTTCCTATTGGATCTTGAATCGATGTCGTTACCCAACCCGGTGTCACTGCAAACGCATTGATACCTTCGGCTAGTAAGAAGAGTAATGAGAGTGAAATGAAACAAACAGCATATTTACATACTGTTCCATAGATCTTGTTTTAATTTGAATGTTGACATAATTTGAAATAATTTCGATAGTGGATAGGCGCCCAGCCAACGACTACTCTGGAATTGTGTAAAAGCATCGGACCAATCAATTGATCGTACACCTAGATTTACCAAAAAAAAACCATCAGTGGTCCGTTCATTATTCACTTACTTTTATGAAGATCGGATGAAACATTAATAATTCGACTTGGTTGACATGTTTTTAATTTGTCTAGTAAAAGATTTGTTAGTAGAAAATGACCCAGATAATTGGCTTGCATCACAGAATTGAAACCATCTTTAGTCGAAACAGACGATGACCATCCAAGACCAGCGTTACAAATCAATATATCGAGTCTCTCTTCCTGTTCGTTGTACAATTTAGCGAAAGTTCGAACAGAGTCCAATGAACATAAATCACATTCCATCACTCGGATACTCTTTTTGTTAGAGTCAGTTTCAACAAGAAGCTTGTTCATTGCCTCAAGTCCTTTGTTCACATTTCGACAAGCAAGAATCACTCGAGCATCTAAATATCAATTCATTCGCATAAGAAACATGAATGACAAGAAAATCAAACCTCGTTGAAGAAGATCTCTAGCAGTTTCATACCCAATACCAGTATTTCCACCGGTGATCAATACTGTTTTGCCTTTGATCGATTGTATACTCTTATACAATCGACGATTGATCCAAAATTTATTGAAAATCCATGCTGTTAGTACTGTCTCACAAAGTCAAGATAAGGAATATATTATTAAAGAGATAATATTGTGAACAATACCCGTGGTAGTAGCAATCAAAATAGTCGGACGATATGCATCCAAAAGTTGATGACTAAATGAAAATAGTCTCTCGATAGACGTAACAGACATGAATGTTGTTTTACTCGAAGGTCATACTCAATCTGACAGACAAGTAGGAGAAAGACAACTCGTTATCCATTATTTACCTATACTCGCAAGAAACATTGATAGATGTCATATGCAATCGTAAAATATATATATATATATATGAACGAAACTGTTAATGACAAGCGATGCTCATTGCAACAGGCTTTTTACTGTAAATGTGGGTGTCAGCCATCCTTTGTCAATATCCAGAGAAACAGCTACACATATAGTCCATCTTCAAGTGTCACTGGACTATGCAAGACAGAATTTTCGTTGCTGTTGTATTTAGTGTTTGCTTTTTTACCGTCGTGATTAAATGCTTAGACATTGAAATAATAAGTAGCAGTACAATTCGAATATCTGAATAGTTAATATGTGATGCAATACATTGAATCTTGACTTCGAATTTCACTTAGAACTTATGCACTGCACTACAAAAGATGCATATTACTTCACGTCATATGGAAGAAAGGAAAAAAAATGAGTAGAGCCTAAACGGGAACAGGAGAGGAAATATGATGCACATTAAAAAGTTTCTAGTTGTTTTATTGGACACATTTCATTCCTTCCGAACAACATTTCTACATTAAACTTTCCTTGTGAGCAAAAACTTGAGCGATGAGAGGCTCTTGATTGTTTATATTGTACGAAACAATCAAATGTTTGTGGTTATCACCGATGAGAAATGTATATCGAAAAAAGTCATACAATTAATTATCGAACTTTTTTATTGGCTAATCAACTAAATTAAAATTGGTCAAATAAACTGCATAAAGAAGGATATGAATATGATATATAAAACAATTATCGATCGGTTAATTCTTGATGATATTGATGATGTTTACTCATACACGCAGAACAAGTCATGAATATAGTAAAAAACAATGGCTCCAGTTCGATATTTCTCTATCCAATTTGCATTTCTTAGATTCGATAGACATTTGTTTAAGTTGATCATAATCAGTTTTTCCTTCTCGTCGAAATAAAACTTGCAAAAGTACTTCAGCATCTCTTCTTGATTCATTTATTTATCTTAATAATTTTTCCAATGTAGCATAATATGTTTGAGTGAGTGATGGTATAATCCCGTTACATTTGGTAACGACTTGAGGGTGTGGTGTGGGTGTGGGTGTGGGTGTGGGTGTAGGTGTGGGTGTGGGTGTGGGTGTGGGTGTGGGATGTGTGGGTGGGTGGGTGTGGGTGTGGGGTATTGATCACCTCTTAAATAGCACCCACACCCACCCGTGACTTTGGGCCACTCTGTATAAAGTAAAATTCGTACGTTCCAATGAGATTCAGTTATTTTCTATGTAATGTCTCCTTCAACTACTACGACATTTTTAGTTTTTCAGTAGTAATTTGCCACGATAATTTTCACTGTATTTCTATGGCTGTTCGTGTGTTCATATTAGAAACCTTATATTAATTGAACTGGATGTTAGACAAAAGGCAGCTGAGCCCCACTAGAATAGAGGAGACTTCAATTTTAATAAATACCTCATAGAGTTGAATCGTTGTAAGTTATGAATACGATGTAATAATCAAATTGACACATCGATATAGTAGTCCTACAAGATGAATGATTTCGATATAAAAAGCGAATACAGTGTATCGAACGGCATAAAGAAGAGTTTTCAGTGATTGTTTTGATTGCCAAAAAATAATGAAATACTAAACGTACGCTATACTTTTCGTCTGATAGAATTAAAAAAATTTGTATACTAAAAACAAACACAATGAAAATTTGAAAATGTTTGCATCGTAACGTTGTAGCCCATCCAAAAGAGTTATAGAAAACATTCTTGTTATTTCGATATTGGCTTATTTGTGATAATTAAATCCAAAAATGAAAATAGACTCTAAATTTTGAAGAATTTGTTTTTACAAGAGACAGTATATGCATCAGCCATCATATTAACAAGCGAATGCTTGAGATTTGATTACACAGTCAACAAAAAAATTTTTTTTCGAAATATACGACTGTATCGTACTACTTGTAGTCAACTGCATGAATGAGAAGCAATAATACTCGTTAAAAAAATATTTCGAATACAATATAGTCGGCGGCAAGCATATATCATCACAATACTTCCCATTTTGATTAATAGAGTTCTGACATCTTTTGTTAACTCATTCAGTCGCATGGCGTTATTGTGCATAATGTCAATCTACGTTCTTCTAGTCATTATATATGTGTACTGTATAAACGTATATCGTTTATCTTTCCTTCAATATCTTGATCGTTAGTCAAATTGCATGCTTGCGTTGTATTCAAATATTAGTCAACTTCTATTTTTGTACTAAGAGGACAAACGAATATTCAAAATACATAAATTGAGAACGGTAGTTGTAGAAAAAACATTTCATTTCTTTTTCGCATTCATTATTATGGCATCCATTAATATTTTTCTTATGCTTGTTATCGTCACTAAGATTCACTCGTTTGTATTGAGGTATGATCAAGATCCGCTATCTCAAAATGGAAAATGTCAATCACTCATTTTTATCGATCTGTCTCAAACTAAGTATGTTGCATATCCATCATTTGTCTTTTCTGCTGGTTATCATCAACCCACGGCGTTTCGAGTATTCTATCATAATAGTGGAACAATTTCGATTAAGCCAATTCTCATCGATTCGACAACATTAGTAGTTAGTGGTGGTTGTTTGTCAGGTATATTTACATTCCAAAGTGCTCATCTTCATTGGCCAAAGTCAGAGCATAGATTCAACAACAAGAAATATGTAGCCGAAGCTCATTTTATTCATAAAAANCCTGGACAACATGGTAGATTTACATGGTAACATGGCTGGCCAGGGGGAAGACATTTGTTGTCTTCCTCTGTAGCATATGTTGTTGTAAGAGCATGTAAAACAATCATAATAGTCATCATGAATTTGATAAACATGGTCATGAAATTCATTCTATCACAAAATATAAAATGCATATTTGTTTGTTACATTTACATAAACATCATGATACAAACCTTGTAATTATTTAGTAGAATGTCAACAGGAAAATATAGTGCTTTTTTATTTGCTCTACAATGAAAAAAACTTGAATAAGTGTTGATGCGCTATACAACAACTAACAATGTGTTTTTTTCCCAGCAAAAAAAAGAGCAAAACAATTTATATCACATGACTGACGACTGATTTAATATTTTTGCTGATCGAATGGCAATAAAGTTCGAAAAGTCGCGAAAAGCGACTTATCAGTCGTTAATAAAATAGAAAAACGTCGATGCTCTTGTTAATCATATAGTAAAAAGTGATAAGTTCGTTGTCGCGATGAGAAACTGCCCATATGTTTTATTGTGCTAAGAATGTGCCACAATTGCAGCACATTGTGAACACATCATGAAGATATGATGAACGTGCGTTTGAATTTGTATACCAAAAATGAAAAGCCCGCACCCACATTCCACACAGAATATTTGAGCGAATATGAATAAACTTTAGCGTAATGGTAGAATGAAAGCTTCAGATCATTGTTAGTTCTTGCATTTCCTATATCTCTTAGGTGGCAGCACTCGAAAGTTTTGAGACTGGGACAAATTTTGCTCTACTCGTTGAGATTTATTTGCTTTGAAAATTCCAGATCTTTGAGGGCGTGGGTGTGCGTTCCGCGAGTGCTTATGAATCATCTCTTAACTCGCAGCCACATATGCACCTATCGTGACTCTTGCTGCCAGTATCATTCTTCGACACTGCTTTGATTGTCATGATCAAGTAACTAAAGAAAAACACCAGTAAAGACATGGTTACTTGAATGTAGAAAAATATTGCGCCTAAGTTTCTCTCCAAATATCGTTCTTTCAGGACATTTACTTGAACAATTTCACAAGTAGTTTCGATCCAAAGCTACTATTAAAGATATCTGTCGATTGATGCGAAAATCCTTTGAAAACTTTTCTGTGCTGGAATCCAAATTGAGTGTTTCCAGTGAATTTTTGAGGTTAGATAAATGAGCTAACATTCTTTTCAGCTCTATTCTCTATAATCTTCATCGTAGACCGAAACGAATAAGAAAATTGCCATTCGGCTCATACCAAAATAAAAAGGCGATTCCTTTGTTGTCACAAGTAAAATGTATCTACATATCACATGGAATTTCACTTTAGTTTTCGTGTGTCTACATACTAAATTTATCAATTTAGAGAAATTCGAAACCTTCAAAGCGAAGTTACAGTACAAATTAGAACTTACGTGCCATCAAAAGAAATGTTTTTTTCTTATCGATCAGTGAAAGTAGTAGTTTGTGACTTTGCATAATTCATACTGATATAGTTATCTTCTTCTTGAAGAATTGGCTACTTAATGAAAATACAAGCAATAATTAAACTAGTATATTTCTCATGTAAAGCGATGAATACATTTTTCAAAAACGCTAGACACAGAGAACATGAACTCTATATTGAAGTAAATTTTTATTGACTGTACTTTCAGATTTAATGAAAGGTTGCTGTTGAGTCGAATAATGAGAGTTACAATCGATTCGGCAGCATCTATATTCGATTTGATTGCATTCGTCTGACGTGAGCCGAATCAAATCGAATCGAATCGTCAAATACTTCTATTCAGCTTCCGTCTCTGATCCTCATTGTCAAGCAATAAATGAAGACACATAGAGACTATTCAATGCTAATGAAAAATATGTATCAAATACCAACGACAAGTAGCTCCGTCTTGTTCACGACGCAGAATATTAAATGTTATACATGATATAAAAATTGAATCCTTTTCATCTTTTAATTGTGTTAGAAAAACATAGTATCTGGCTATGGCTTTCTAATGCTCTTAACTGTTGATAACGTTTAATATCTCATTTCCTTTGTCACCATAGGAAAATTTGAACTATTTCACTTGGTTCAAAGCGTCCCTCTTCCCAGATCAAGTCTTCGGAAGTTAGACAATTCTAATTTGGTCGTAACTCTTCGTGGATGAAATCCGGCCGCATTTCATCGCCAACCTAGAAGCAGGAAATACAACACTTCAAGATCACTGTGAAACATTATACTGTTATCGCATAAGATGGAAAACAAAGTTGTTTATCACAGAGGTACATACAGCTTAGAGCACATTTTTTCACTATTCTACTGCATGAAAAAAAGCTATCATTGCATGAAGCATACATTTATGATGACATCGGAAATCATTAAACGATCTATACGAAAACAAGCGATCGAAAATTATGACTCAAAGTCGCGGTATTATCATTTAGTAATCATCAATTGCGTTTCCTCGATTACGGAAGCAATCGACAAATCTTCTCAGAAAGACAAAAGTTATATACGGAAGCCAAAAAACTCTTATGCTTTTTCGGATTTTCTATTCATTGTCATTCGAACTAATAATAAATGTTGATAGCCATTTATTTCATAAAAGCTAAATCTTATTTTTCCAGCACATATTTTGCATGAAGAAAAGTGCAACATATAATAACTGATACATTTCTTAGTGAGACCTAGTCACCACCAACAAACAAATCAGAGTTCGTATGCGTTGACAATCGATTGCATCTCATACTTCTAACCAATAATTTTATCTGAAATGCAACGATCAGATGGACTTGGTGGACGAGATACAGGACCAGAAGCGCATTTATATCCTGGACAACATGGTAGATTTACATGGTAACATGGCTGGCCAGGGGGAAGACATTTTTTGTCTTCCTCTGTAGCATATGTTGTTGTAAGAACATGTAAAACAATCATAATAGTCATCATGAATTTGATAAACATGGTCATGAAATTCATTCTATCACAAAATATAAAATGCATATTTGTTTGTTACATTTACATAAACATCATGATACAAACCTTGTAATTGTTTAGCAGAATGTCAACAGGAAAAAATATTGCTTTTTTATTTGCTCTAGAAAGAAAAAAAAACTCGGCTGAGTGTCGGCGCACGATATTAAATATCAACAGCTTTTTTGCTTCATATTTTTCGTTTGTCTCTCAGCAAGAAAAAACTCAAAACGGTTTATGTTACATGACTGAAGACTGCCAGTATTTTCACCGATTGAATGGTAATAATATTTTCAAAGTTATGAAAAGTGGCTTATGAATCTTAAATAAAATAGAAACAAATCGATGCTCTTGTAGATCATATAGTAGAAGGTGAAATATTGGTATTTATGGCGAGAAAATATCCATATGTTTGATTGTACTGATGTTGTACTACAATTGCAACGCATTGAGAATGCACAATTAGGGTCGTGTGACAATGGATGTGAGTTTGTGTGTTAGAGAAGAGAAATCCTACACTAAAGATTTCAGCGAAGACGGAATGAATTTTGACGTAATAGTAGCTTGAAAGTTTCGAATCATTTTTAGTTCTTACATTTCCTTTATCTCATAGACGATTTCATCTAGAAATTTTAAGTCTGGATCAAGTTTTTTGCTCTATTCATCGAGATTTATTTGGCAAGAAATTTTGAAAATTTTTCATCGAGTGATTTTTGAAAAATCTCGAAGAGTGATGATGAACAATTGTCGTTTTTCCCTACAGTATTTTAATCAACGATAATTAATGCACTCATTATAACAAAAAAAAATTGAATAGATGGGGAAAACGATTGATCAAATATTGGCGAAGATGAATAATATTCCGCATAGCATAGAACTTTCAATGAATTGTAACGTAAATAAAATTATATCTATCAGTCATTTAATTGGTCTCTTCAATAAACTTTCGTTGACACAATTTGCTTAGTAATTGCCAAGCTTTTTGACAATCATTCGTTTTAATATACGGTACGAATCCAAAATCGGCATACATATTTATTGCTCTCCAGCTTGTTGTTTGTGACTCAAGATAACATTTGTTGGCATATTCAGCCACTTTGTGCAATACCGCAGATACCATTGGTTTGGCCAATTTTTTCCCTTGATATTCTGGTATAATTGATACCCAATCAAGACTTCCGTATTCTTGTCCGTCGACCTCGTAGATTCCTGCAGCCGCTGTTCCAATATATTTTCCATCGGCATTTGCCAGAAAATGGATACGTTCAGACAGTGGTTTTCTATGTTTGGTCTTTGAAAAGTATTTGTCAAACATCTCCAGACCTTTCTCAACCGATCTAAGTTCTCCTGCAGCCATGACTATTTCAATCCATTTCTGTATGTCATTTGCATCGTCTTTATATAATTGTAGAGAATAGCTGGGTGGTAGTGGATAGATCGGTATCGAATCCATATTTGGTCGATACATGAAAATTTTCAAATATTCTATTTCATTAGTCGATTGATGAAGATAATTGTCGGTCATAATTTCAAGAATAAGACAATAAAATTGTTACCTAAAGCAAAGCAAAAACTATCAGTTTTATGTAACATAACAGCTTAATCATATGACGCTTGCCATAGAAAGAAAAGAATAGAAAGATAAAGTAACCTTGTAAAGGTTACTTATTCATAAGAATTGCTTGATAAGGATATGAATATGAGTCGTCGACATGTTCGTGTTGGATGAATGTTGTTACGAAGGAATCAATAGCAATGTTGCCTTTTACTTGCGTTCCCCCATCCCATAGCTACGAATTCATTTGGATAATGATATCGATTTTCTCTTGTTATCATGTGTTCAATCGTTTTGGCACCGACGAATAAGATTATCTTTGATTTTTTATTGAATGCACGTGTGAGAGGGAATAAAGAGAACACTCTAATTCATGCAACTACCCTTATATTCATACCTCATACCTATACTTCTTAGTAGACAATTGGTGAATCGCGAGTTTTTCAGGCAAAAAAGACTGAGAATTGGCGATGAGCCCTGACTGAAATATGAAGAAAATAGTTAGAGACGCATTAATTTTGACACATCTGTTAGTACTTCATCATAATCACTGTCATCTATTTATTGATGAAACTGTTTGAGACCGATGATTTCTTTATTGACACAAAGACAATTATTAAGAGGATGATGTGAATAATATGAATACCATGCATTCGAAAAGAATAGTTAAGCCATCTACAACTCGGTACTATTGTTATTTGTATCAAGTGTTGGCAAATTGAATGATTTGTGATTGAGTAAAGTCATCTGTTTACTAATATTTATAAATGAATTGCTTTTTACAAACGATCCGTATTGGGTCTTCATTTTCCTTAAAAGTTATGACTTGATAAGTTATTTTATATTGTACGCTACACAGATATTAATTTTGTCTATTGATAAAGATGTAAATCATTGACATGTGACGTTATAAGTCAGTAGTCAATTTTTTTATTGACATAAAGAAAAGATAAATTGCTATATGTGATTATTCAAAGGAGTGCCACTCTAAGAAGTAGTATCAATTAGATCAGCGAAAAAAGAAAAAAACATGTGTCATCAAAGATAATCTTAAGATTTTTTTTCCTTATGTAAGTAGATTGGAACATCTAACAAACAACTTTTGAACAAGAGACTGACTGCGAGATATATCAGAACAGCGGTGAGTTTTCACTATTTAAGATTAAATATAAAGAATGAGAAGTTGCACATTTACGTATAGAAGGCTCGAAATATGTAACAGCCAATACGTATTATTTGAGAGTAGGTACCAATTTGTTCTGAATAAATTTCTAGTACAAAAATTTCATAGAATACGAACGTTGATAGAAATCTAGTTGTGATACTCGTTCAGTGGTAGTTCATGGATATCATTCCTTGTACTTGACGTAGTGTACAGTAATTATTCTATGAATGATGTAAATCCTAAGGTTGCACCGATAAACGAATAGTTTTACTTTTTTCTATTAATACTTCTACGAAAAAAAAAAGTCACAAATGAATTGAAAAAAGCAGATCAAAGAACTTTTGAATAAGTTGTCTTGGTCAAGAATCAACTGAAACCTATCAATCAATATACTTAAAAAATTATCCTTTTCTTGCTTAATTCACTCAATAAAATAAATTGATAACAAAAATATTTCAACGAATCTTTATGAGGATCTATTCAAACACGTCAATGATACGAAAAGATCAATAAACTGTTAAGCTCGTGATTATCTTTTGAAATCTTTTTAAGACTCATGTCACAATTTCTTTTTTTGTTATGCTTGTATTGACTATCAATTAGTATCCTGCATGAATAACTTTTCTCGACTTCTTGCTTCTATAAGCAGAGATGTAAACCGATGTATAGACCGATGATAGTAGTTGAATTGCGTGGTACTTTTTTCCCATTCGGCGGCGGCAATAACGGCGAACATTTTAAGAAGATTGCTTAAAGGTTTTCTGTTCTGAAAATTTTTTAAATGAAAAAAAAATGCTAGAGAACTGACGAAAAATAGATAAAAAACGCTCTCGAAAAATTATCTTAGAAATTATTAATTTGTACATCTGTACTATTTTTTTTGCTTCCGACAGCGGCAACTCAATCAATTAATTTACCCTTCTCACTGAAAGACTTTCTAAATTTCTAGTCCTGCTTTATTTTTACGTTTCAGCGAAAATATAAATACCATACACTATCTTCTCGTGAATCTCGTTACCATTTCCACATGAGACAGAACGGAAGAAAAACGTTCTTGCAAAACACTATTATTAACACGCACATGCTGAATCGAATGACTCAGCAATTCTTTTCTCTTGCTTTTCATAAAAATGCTTTGTCAACGACCAGCAGAAAAGAAGAAATAAATATGACCAAGGCAAAATATTTTGTTATTATTGTACGATTCTTTTTTCTTGGTAAGCTGATAGAATATGTTCTCTCACAAACAAAAAAACAAAGTTCTATGACAACTAACAATATAAAATCTTTTAGATTAAATTTTAATTATGTCACGAGTATTGACATTTAAAGATTATTACTCATTAATCAATCTTCAGCCAATGTCATTAAAATCTACCTATAAAAATTTGAATTATGGTGCTATTGTTCGTCAAATTGCTGAATATTTTAGTGGATCTAACAACTCTTTGTCTCGTCAGTCGATCGAAGATCAAAGAGCTTTTATTCGTCATGCACTTACTATCCGCGATCCCACACCACATCATCGTTATTCATTTGAGATTTACGATTTAATTGATCGACTGCTTACCTATGAAAGAGACCATGTGAAAACTCTTACGCAAGCTATTAAATTACCTATACAATTTACATCATTTCCTTATATTCGAGTATGGCGAGGTGACATAACTACTCTTATTATTGATGCCATTGTCAATGCAGGAAATAGTGATCTCCTTGGTTGTTTTCAACCAACACATATATGCATTGATAATGTTATTCATGCAGCTGCTGGTCCACGTTTAAGAGATGATTGCTATACAATTATGGCAAAACAACAACAACCAGAACCTGCTGGTCATGCAAAAATTACTGTCGGTTATAATCTTCCTTCGAAATACATTTTGCATACTGTTGGTCCTCAATTATTTCATGGTACTCGTATAACACAAGACAATGCTCGAGAATTAGCTTCTTGTTATGAAGCATGTTTAAATTTGGCAACAGAAATAGATACAATAACATCAATAGCATTTTGCTGTATTTCAACGGGATTATTTGCTTTTCCTGCTGATCATGCATGTCGTATAGCAATTGAAACAGTAATAAATTGGTTTCAACAACGAAAATCAAATACAAGATTGTCTCTAATTGTATTTGATGTATTTAGTCTAGAAGATGAACAACGATATGTAAATGAACTGACAAATTTTTGTAAACCAAGAAACTGAATTGAATAAGTACAAACGTCATTAAAATGTTTTTATTTGCATCGACAAAAAAATGATTGCCGATAATCGGTCAATATTAGAAAAAAATAGTCAAGAAATTTGTAGTAAAAAGAATAAAAGATTTTTTAAAACAAAAGTCTTCAAATTAGATGAACAAGCTAAATTGATACAAGAAAAAAAAATGCAAGACACTATAGCAAGAATTTCTTTTTAAAATTAAAACTATTAGATTCAAAGATTTTTATGAAATGACATCAGAATAGTTCAAATATGTATCATTTGATTACATACTCAAAGGTAACATCTCATGTAGAAAAAAATGAACCAAAAGTTCATTATTAACTACTACAATTCACTTGGAATATTTGATTAAGAGTAATAAGTGATTCATTTAAGAAAGTTGATAGTAGCAAAGTACTTACGAGGGAAGGCCTCCAACTGATCCACGTTATTTTCAATGATATGTTGTCCAGATGTCGGAAACATTATTCTAAGAAAAATCCTAAAACGGTTTGGGCTAATAGGAGTTTCTTGAAAATCTATGACCATTTTATTGTTTTTTCCACCTAGCATAAGGTATATACAGAAAAACCGAACAAACGAATTTGAGCCTTTATATAATTCTCGTGATCGTAGAAACACTGAAAAAATGTCAGCGGAAAAAAAATGTTTCCGTCAGGAGATATCGATTCTTAAAAACTTGTCTCATAATGAATGAAGTCCTGACAGAATGACATTTGAAAAAATTGAACATCTCGACAAGGACACATTTTTTTTACTGAAACTTTTGTAGTGTTCCAATGATCACGAGAACTACGTACATATGGACTAAGTTTCAGACTCACATTCGTTGTTGGGTTTTTTTTGTATATACCTTATGCTAGGTGGAAAAATCAGTAAAATGGTCATAAGTTTCCAAGAAAGCCCTATCAACTCGAACTCTCTGAGAACTTTTCTTAGAATAGTGTCCTCGACATATGAGCAAAATGCCATTGAAGACAGCTTGGATCAGTTGTGGACCTTCCATCGCCAGTATTACTATCAAGTGAAATCGTTTATTTTCGAAAAAACATGAAAAGAACATGAATCAAACCTGTGCAGGGTAATACCTTATCGTACACTGGAGAGTAGGGCAGAACTAAGATCAGAAGAATGTATGTTAGATTTAGGCCAAGAAAATTTTTTTTCAGACAAGATATGAACAACGCTTACATTTAAAAGTAATAATCTATTGGAAAATAATAAAAGTCAACTTCTGTTTTTGCATAGTACTGTAATAAAAAAATGTGAAAAACTAATCATAATTTCTAGATTGATATCCTTTTATTATGTATTAAGTTGAATGTTATTGTTCTTCCAGGGAATTTTCGTTCGATTATTTTTCCTTTTCTAAATTGAACATTTTCAATTCGATTGAGTGACTCCATATGTGAATTAAAAGAACATTACCAAATAACGATCACGTTTCTTTCGTCGTCAATATATTTTTTAAAGGGAAATGTGTTCTGTAGAATGATTTTCTTTGCACTTGTGCAATT